CGAGTTCGGTTCAGGAAGGTAGAGGTTGTGAGCAGAGACAGAGACCTTGACCCTCCTAACTGGACGCACAGCAGCGCTGACCTCGTCCAGTTCACTGGGCTGGCACGCGTTTCCCAAGCGTCGCTGGGTTTTAAGGCTGATCTCTATTCCCATCTGGTCCAGTTTGTCCGGTTCGTCTCCAGGCCGGGAGCTGGCCTGCTCTGCCCTGACCTGTCCTGTCCTGCCGTGCGGAGGAGAGACTGGGCAACAGTGGGCAGCCGCACGCTGCTGGGAAAGTGAATCTTGCAGCAAACTTCTGCAGGTTAACCAAGCCCTGCAGCGCTTCCTCCTAGGTCTCCCATGCTTTCCTACCCCAGAGCGTGCAAAGTCTATGGTTTGTCATAACGCGTCGGGCACAAGCTTGCCACCCTGGACTTCATTCAGGAAGGTCTTCCGCGCTGAATCGTAGTATCACAGGAGCTCCTGAGCAGCCCAGCCAGCCCAGGTTGAGCCCTGTTGCCCAGACTTCGCCGGTTCGAGTCTGGTTGGGTGCCAGTAGGTGTCAGTGACTGGCGTTTTCCAGGGTGAGATGGCACTGGGTCACTCGGGGTCGCCTTGTCTTGGACCTCAGCAGTGCCCCCCTGTGGCCAGCTGTGTACCTGCAGCGCGGGCTGCCCGCCGCAGACGTGGGGCTCCCGTCTCTCTTCGCCGTGAGCTCGGCTGCGGACACGGGGGGGGGGCGGAGGTGCTCCCAGCTGGAACCACAGGGGCCGTGGGTCCCAGCCTCGCGCGTGGGTGGCCTGTGGGACCCGCAGAAGTGTGAACTCCATCAGCTGGCGCCGCCCGGATACTCAATTTCATTTCAATTCAATTCCAGGTGCTTTATTAGCATGGCCGATGGGTACAATCAGCGTTGCCAAAGCAAGAAAAAAATAATCAAATTAACACGGAACAAAACAAAAATAAAAGTAAAATAAGTAATGACTCTCTCACGGAAAACCCTGCCGCTGTTCTCACCAGGCCGACGCTGTTTTTTTTTCCTAACCCTCCAGTAAACTCCATTCCCTTCGGCAGGGGAGCGGGAATTCCTCTTGAGGGAACACTTAAAAGCCGTGTCCGTTCCACGCATTAAAAAGAAAACTCCACACAGGAACTGCACAGCCGGTTTGTCTCCACAGCTGGACAGAGATTCAAAAGAAAATGAGAGTAAAATCCGTTCGGGCTTCGGACCAAGAACCGGCTGCCCTGTCACCGGTGTTGACGGGTTTTTTCCCCCATCTTTTCCCTAATACCTTGTGTCGATAATAAACGTTACAACTGCATAGTGAGCATGAGAGAGACTTGTTTTCCAATGTAAGAAAAGTAAAACGTTTTGCCAGAATCCAAAAACCATTCAGCTTTGAGAGTGCGAACAGTATTTTCCGTCTTGCTAAGCCAAACATGAAGTCATGCTGTGGCACGTTTTTGATTTGTTTTATCGTGAGTACAAACTGTATAGGTTTTATTGTAAACATGACTATTACTGTTATAATTATTATTATTATTGATGTTATTATATTATTATTAATTATATTAGTGGCAGGCCACTGGGAACCATTGTATGTTAATGTCCCCATGAACTCTGTGCAAAGATGACAAAAGGAAGTTTATAAAAACTTAAAAACGAAATGAAATAAAAACATTTAAGTTGGTTCTTCATCAAAACGGAGGTGGTGGGTGTGAATTTGTGGCTATGAACTCGTTGCTTCAGTGTGTGCAGCGGAGGCTGTTGATCGTCTTCCATCTTCTGGGTACAGTGTCTGTAGATCAGCGTTTCTCCAGCTCTTCCATCCCCCCCCCAGGAATCTCATCCAAGGGCTTCGACAGCACGGAAGAGCAGTTCGTTCCAGACTCCCACATTCTGCAATGCTAAAAACTCGACGTTTGATCAGCGTTTGCCCATAAGAAGGTAATAGGACGTCACATGACCTGTTCACTGACGCCTCGATCAGTTCCCAGTTGCAAACGCCTGTGAGAGCAGCAGGAATCGGCCCCTCAGAGTCTGAAGGGCCTCATTTCTGAGCTGCAGAATCTTCAAGAGAGGACTGACCCTTTTAACATACATAACTCTATCCAGTAAGTATTATTTAAATAATTTATGTCACGGTTCATACGAGAGAATATTCTTCTTAAAGCCACTCAGGCCAGTTCCAGACCAGTTTGCCAGCAGTGCCCCAAAGCTGGTGGCACTGGTGGCGCCCGCAGGGCGTGGACACCTCGCCGTTCAAATCGCCGCCACTCCTGTCTGGTGAGCAGCTGAGGTGCCTCAGGGGTTCAGGAGCAGG